TTGCCAAGAAAGATGGAGAAGTTTATACACTTGTGTACTGTTTACATATTTGTTTGCTCCTTTATCAACAGTCTTTGCATTGTGCTTAAGCTTTATAAACTAATGAGCCATTTATTGCATACTGTATTTATTGTTCCACTCCCCATATTGTCTCATCTTGTTTCACTTTTTTGCCTTGTTGTCCTCTCATACAGCTGTCCCCTCCCCTGTAACTGTGGCACAAGCATGTCACTGTTTCTATGATGTATGTGAATAAAGTGATTGTGATTTTAAGCCAAGAATGAAACAGTCATTATTTGTTTTGTCAGTAATTGTTGTTTATTTTTTAAATTCCAGAAAATTCTCACTCAAATGGAACAGTAGACTGTGATACATTTGTTAAGGCACAGTATATTCTTGTTATTTTGTATACTACTGCCTTTGTCTCTCCCTCTTTTTCATTTAGCATTTCCCGAGGTATAGTACCATGCATAAGAACATAACATAAGAAATTTACAAACGAGAGGAGGCCATTCGGCCCATCAAGATTGTTTGGGGAGAACTTAACTAATAGCTCAGAGTTGTTAAAATCTTATCTAGCTCTGATTTAAAGGAACTCAGGGTTTTAGCTTGCGCTACACTAGTAGGAAGACTATTCCATACTCTAACTACACGCTCTGTAAAGAAGTGCTTCCTCAAATTCGTTTTAAAATGTTCTCCAGCTAATTTCCACTTACTGTATGGCCACGAGTTCTAGTATTGATTTAATATTGAAATAGTCATTTGGCTGAACAGCATCCAGCTGATTAGCATGATTCCATGACTAACAAATCAGAGTCAGATCAGTCTGGCATCCAATCCCTGTTTCAGGATCATCTGGAATGGAGATGACATCATCAGACCCTGAATTAGCAGACATTAAAGCAGTTATTTGCAAGCCAGGGAGAATACCATGTGACTGAAATTTTGACACAAAAAGAATGTCATACCTTGATCCAGTACCGTACCATTCTGATTACCATGTTGTCATTCAGCTGGACTTGCTCTGGGTTCAGCACACATGGGAAGTGTTGGATAGGAAGGAACGTTTTCCTGGCATCAGGTGCTAGAGTGTGAAAACCATAAAATTAAATCAATGCACAGTGTAACACAAAACTAAATGGTACCACTTACAGTAACAACTTCAGGGCAGGACATTTTTACTTATTAAAGTACCTGTTTGATTTGTCAGTGGGATCACCATTGTGTCAGTACTGTACAAGCATCCCTGGATGTTTAGCTTTCATTTTGCAAAAGGGACTGTCTGAGCACCCATTTGTTTTTGCCTTCCTCCCAATATCTGATGCCAACAGACGGCCGTGTCCCGTGTTCACTGTCGGTGCCCAGTTAATGTTGTCATACATAGTGGCTGGTTTGCCTAACATGACAGGATAAGAATATTCCACTTCATGTATTTAAAACTAAACAATTTTTTCACATGAACTTACCTCTAAAATTTCGTGGCACAAAGACCAATACAATTACAGTCGAACTTCGTTACAACGTAACTCGGGGGAATTAAGAATTTGTACGTTATAACCATAGTATGTTGTAACGAGGTCCCTCAAAATGAATGATAGAACACAAAATGTATATAAAAAAACTTTTAGAAAACACC